CTGCAGAGCAGGCAGAGCAGGGTCTGCAGCCAATCAGAAAGGACCGGAAGGTGCGCGCTGTATCCCTCCCTTCCCCCAGCCTCCTCTGATTCACGGGGAGGAGGAAGAGAGACCAGACGTGTGGTCTAGGCAAATCACCGGAGGTGGGGAAAGATCAGGGGGTGGGGGTTGGGTTGCCTTTCCCTCGCGGCGTTAAAGGGACAGTCGTCCCGTAGCAGCTGGGCCTCGGCGCCCCGGCCGTGAGAGGAGGCCGTGGGAACCGGCGCCCGGATGGAGCTGAGCACGCTCAGTGACAGGACCAGCCTTTGCGGGCTGCGCTCTCTGCGGTGCTCTCGGCCCTGCCAAGCCCGGCACCTGTTTTATCCTCAGCCAGGGCCCTGGAAGCAGCCCTTTGCCAGGAGCTCCCATGGGCTGCTGCTTCCCGGGAGTGATCATGCCAAGCTTCACACACAGGGCATTGTCTTCCCATGCGGCCTGTGATGCCGTGCAAGATGCAGGCCCTGGGATTAGACCAGGGGTGAGCAATCATTTTTGTAGGGGAGCCACTTCACAAACTTTGGTTCAGCTCCGGCCTCCCGGAAAGGGCGTGGCCTCAGGCAGAAGGGGCGTGGCCTCAGGCAGAAGGGGCGTGGCGTCAGGCAGAAGGGGCGGTTCCCTCTAGGCGCCACACCCCCTGGGAGGAGGAAGGGAGTTTGTGCCTCCTGCCCCACGCCAATCGAGACCTGGGGGCAGAGAAAAGCAGGATCAAAGCTCTCTCTAGGCGCCACATGCCCCTGGCAGAGGGAGGCAGCCGCCAAACGCTTTGAACGGCGAATGACTTCGCGCGCTCCCCTGCCCCTCGGTCTCGATTGGCCTGGAGGCGGGGGAGTGGCAGGGGTGGGCCATAGGCCGGATCAAATGCTTGGCGGGCCGGATCTTGCCCATCCCTGTATGAGACCAAAGGCCGCTGATTTTTTTATCCTGCTTTTCTCTCCCCTGGCAGCTCAGTGTGGGGCCTGGATGGGGCTCTCTGCCTGGCTCTGGGTGGAAAGGAGGCCCAGGGGTCAGTGTGTGGGGCCTGGATGGGGCTCTCTGCCTGGCTCTGGGCGGAAAGGGGGCCCAGGGGTCAGTGTGTGGGGCCTGGATGGGGCTCTCTGCCTGGCTCTGGGCGGAAAGGGGGCCCAGGGGTCAGTGTGTGGGGCCTGGATGGGGCTCTCTCCCTGGCTCTGGGTGGAAAGGGGGCCCAGGGGTCAGTGTGTGGGGCCTGGATGGGGCTCTCTGCCTGGCTCTGGGCGGAAAGGGGGCCCAGGGGTCAGCGTGTGGGAGTTCGATGGGGCTCTCTCCCTGGCTCTGGGCGGAAAGGAGGCCCAGGGGTCAGCGTGTGGGGCCCAGCCTCTTACTCTGCCACGACTGGCTGGTTCGTGGGCTGACCTGGGCTCTCCTGTCTCTTGCAGACAAAGGGCATATCCACAAAATGGTGGAGACGCCCCACGGCATCTTGAACATCCTGGAGATCCAGCCCTTCGAAAAGCCGGCTCCCATCCTGGCCATGACCCTGGATCACGAAGAGGTGAGCGTCTTCCTCTGTCCCTCTGCACAGCCTCATGCCGGCCCTGGCAGCAGCAAGGTGGCTGGAGGGCTGCCACCCCCCACCCGCAGTGCTGGGGGAAGCCATGAGCAGCAGAACCGGGCCCGCAGCTTTAGGAACCGCCTGCTTTTCCTGTTGGCTCCAGGTGTCTGGGACTAGGGGCCGCCTCCAGCTTCCCGGAGGGTTGAAGGACATTTCTTTAACCGGGGATTCTCAACCTTTTGTTGCTGGGACCCCTTGAAAATAATTCAGGCTCTGACTTGCCCCCCTCCCCAAAGAGACAACTTCCCTGTGAGCTGAGCACTTGGGCAGCCACCCAGGAGAGGATCGGGTGCTGCCCAGCTGATTAGCAAAGCCCCCACAGCTGGCAGCGTGTGTGTCTATGGGTGGTCAGGAGCGGCCCGAGGGCGGCTGCGGCAGCTGGCGCCCCAGGCGGAAGGCGCGATCGGCGCCCCCACCTGCACAGCCGTCACATCATCACGGGGCACTGCCTAGTCTGCCTAGCCTCACGGGCCGCCCCTGTGGGTGGTGCACTTGGTGCATATCACACAATTTATTCTGCACGTGTAACATTTCGAGGGAACCCTGCGACACCCCCTCATCTTGTGCCCCCATTCCTTCCACACTGCGGCTGGCAGGCCGCTGCCTTCAGAGCTGGGTGCCTGGCCAACAGCCGCTGCTCTCTGGCCGCCCAGCTCTGAAGGCAGCACAGACGCAAGAGTGGCAACACCGTGACTCTCCTGCTATAGATTTGTGGCCCCCTTTGGGGTTGAGACCCCTGTGTGTGGCCCCCTGTTTGAGAGAGGCTCCCCTAAGTCCCACCTAGAGTCCTGATGCCACCTGCTCATTGTGGGTGAATCGCTCGCCCCATGAAGGATCAGGTATAAAAGAAGGGGGAGCCCCCCAGACGGGAAGGCACCAGGTGTGACAGCTCTGCCTTGTTTGCCCCCCGCAGGCGAAGCTGTACGTCAGCTCGGCGAGCGAGGTGGTCCAGCTGCCCATGGACATGTGCGAGGTCTATCGCAACAGCTGTGAGAGCTGCGTCCTGGCGAAGGATCCCTACTGCGGCTGGGCGAACGGGGACTGTGTCTCGGTGAAAGCTAACCTGTACGTGTCCCTGTTGGGGGGCTGCCTGTGCCGGGGGTCAGTGGGGTGACAGTGAAGCATCCCGGCCCTACCACCACCTTACTTGGCCCAGCACAGGCACAGAGGCTGTGCAGGCTGCGAACGGGCAGCCCACCTTGTGGCCCGGGATAGCTCGCTCGGGTCCCACAGCGGGGGAGGGCAGGCGTGGAAAGCCCCCTTCCGCCACTGGAGCTTCTCTGCTCCAGGGTTAAGTGTCTGCTTGAGCTGCGATCACGCCCTCCTAGCTGTGCTCTGGGAACCCCTGCGCCCATAGGCCCCCATCCGGCTAACCCGGCACCCAGTTGGAGACGTCACTCCCTGCTCAATGTGCACCTGCTTCTGGGGTG